AAAAATTTAAGCAAGAGAAATATATTTAGCAAAACACTTTTTCAGTGCCCATTCTACCTGTTAGGAACAAGTGTAATTAGATTTTGATGATACCAAACTGTCTAGGACTATAAGCCCCTATTTTTCCTTTCATAGATAAGTCTCGTGTAACAAACAAAAGTTACTGTAACTCAACGAACAATTCACACCATGAGGTGTACGAATCTTACTCGAGATGTGACACCCCGAAATCCAAATTCGACTAAGGGATTAATTAAGTAATTAATCCTATTTCAATTGGTAATTTAATTCTTAAAATCCTGAAAATTCAATAGTTGGGGACTAAAAATTGACTAGTCAACCCCAAAGTCAAGGTTGTACCTTAAGCTTTGTAAGGAGTTCCCTTGTTCCTTACACCTCTTCATGTTAGTAAGGGTATTCATGACTTTTCACCTTGTGTTAGTATTGTAAGTTAACCTAGTAGAACACCCTCATTTCTCTCCTTACACTTTCCAAATTCTAGCTCCACCTTCTCTCTAAAAAGGTAGATAGCTTTTCTTCCAAGCCAAGTTGAAGCTTTGTCAAAACTTCAAGAGTTGTCTCCAAGATTCTACCTTTCATACATTTGGGCATCTATGAGGGTAAGATCCATGTTCATCTTGTGTTTTTAGTGTTTTCTAAGGTGTCTTTTCTTAAAGATAGAATCTTTATGATCTTTTGGTGTGTTCTTGAAGTGGGTTTGGAAGTTGAGCTTTGTTAGGAGCTTGGTGAGGTGTTAAGTGAAGGTTTTTGTCTACAAGAGGTAACCCATGCTCTACAAAATCTATTTTTCTTACCTATATGATGATTTCTTGGATTCTACATGTGATTTTGCTATGAAATGTGAGTGTTTATGCATTGTCTTGTGAAAATGCATATCTAGAGCTTGTGTTTAGGGTTCTTGTATGCCATTGCTTGGCTATTCCTTTGATTCAAGTCATTTTATTGTATTTGGTGAGATTTGTCATGTTTTGGACTTGAATTTGAGTTTGGAGTTGAAAATCCCCGAAGGGATTATTTGGTACAGGGTTACGTACCCGCGGGCGGAACGGCGGGTAGGCGTCCACCCATCGCCCACCCGCGGGGTACAAGAGACTAGTGGGTATGTACCCGCGGGCGGAACCGCGGGTAGGGGCCTACCCGTGGGTCCACCCGCGGGGTATACTTCGATGTATGTTCGGGATTTGTTCCCCGTGATTTTTTTGACTCGGTATTTGGTCTTTTGACTTCCCAATATTCTTTTGTGGAACTATTTGAGTGTCTTCTTGATGTTTCGTATGTCTAAAACTATATGGTAGGAATCCATGTAGGTTTTGGTGTCTTGAATCGTGCTAAGTGTTCAACATTGTGTTTCGTTGAACCGTGATGAGTCTTGTGTGTTCTTCAGAACTACGTTTGGTTTACCCGTTTGATAAGCATGCTAGTTCGGTGTTTAAATACTAGCATGTGTGTTGTTTGTACCTTCCTATTGTTGATGATAACTTGTGTTATTCATCGTTGTTGTTGGACGGTGTTCTATTCCTTGATTGAGTATGGTTTCATATCTTCGTTGTGATCCGTTGATTGATTCCTGTTGAGGTGTGATGTGTGTGTGACTTTACCTGGATTTCACGATTAGTGGTATGGGACACTAGTCACCAAGGTATTGCAGTGGTCCTCGTGGTGGCCTTGACGTGATTATGGAGTTGTGACCTTTGTGTAAGGTTCACGTATTTCTTGGGAGGCATGTGTTGCCATGTGTGTGATCGGTACCCTTGTGTACTATGAAATCGGTGGTTTTGTTGGCGGTTTGTCGGTGGATGGGGACGACGGTCCTCGGAGGGAAAAGGTTGGACTTGGTTGTACAGGGGTCCTGGAGGTAAAGGTTGGAACTAGACATAAGGTTGGGGGTAGCCATAAGGTTGGAACCGGCCATAAGGAAGGCATATCAACTCGTGATGGGTGATGTCACGAAGGCTTGTGTAGCCGTTGTTGTGAGTTCTCTTCTTGTGACGTGTGTAGTCACAAAGGCATGTGTTGCCTTGGCATGTGTTGCCGTTTGATGTGTCCTTATTCCTTTGAGTTATGCATGTCGAGTGTTAATCTATTGTGCGATGATATATTATACCTTGAGACTTCTTGTGAGTCGTTGTTGTTCCTTGTAGTCTTGGGATGTGTTCCCGTGTTCTTGTTGAGAGTGTTTGAGTCTTGTGTTGACTATTGCTCTTGGTTTTGGACTTATATATATATATATATATATATATATATATATATATATACATATATATATACATATATATATATATATATACATATATATATATATACATATATATATATATATATACATATATATATGTGTGTGTGTGTGTGTGTGTGTGTGTGTGTATATATATATATATGTGTATGTATATATATATATGTATATATATATATATACATACACATATATATATATATACACACACACACACACACACACACACACACACATATATATATATATATATATATATATATATATATATATATATATATATATATATATATATATGTATTCCGTTTCGCAAATGACTTTACAAACATATATCTTATCTATGTATGATATTTCACATGTATTGGTGGGTTACCAGCATTATTCGCTGACCGGGCGTCGTCCCATGCTTTATATGTTTCTTTCAGGTGATGCTTAGACGAGTGCGCGGTTTAGTGCCAGCTAGTGTAGCTCCTCCCTTATGTTTTGTGGCCTGTGAGCCAATTTAGACTTAGTACTTTGTTATGTTGGTTTTTAGATGTTGAACAATGCAGATGTTAGCCTGTGCGTTCACCCTGGGTGAGTGTGGCATAGCACCCCTTTACTTCCAGTTTATATATTTCCTCTTTCAGTCTTCCGCTGTGTTTGATGTTTTGGTTTAGATATCTGCATGTTTAAGGCTTTAAATAGCATGGAATTTAGGGGGTGTTACACGAGACTAGCATAATAGGTCTACACGAAGACTTGAAGATGACAAGATGATCGAAAGATGCTTCCAGGCGAAAGATGGACTGAGCAAGTCTCGGATATACTTCTTTTGATAAAAAAGGACCTCTCGTCAAAAAGAAAGGACGAAAGGTAAAGTCAATCTTTCGACCAAAGTCTCTGAGTGAACAAGTCAAAGACAGACTTGTAAAAGACAACATTCATTTAAGTAAAGCAATGAGAATGTTGTCTATGACTTAGATGGGCAAATCATTCGGACAAAAAGTGTCATAGGAATGATCTTCACAAAAGACAAGGAGCATTAAAAGACTTGTACCATCTTGTCAGAGAACAAAGACAAAAGCCATAATGTTTTTGGCTCCAACAGCTATACAATACAAGTGCATTAAATGCTCAATGCCCACTGGTTATTAGGTTTGAAATTATCATCTCCCTCCAACGGATGAATTTTTCCACCTATAAATACCTCTCTTCACCATTGAAGAAGGTGCTGGTTATTTCACTCTTGCTATCCAACGAAAAGCTCTTCAAACAGTTCCATCTCTTAAAGCTTTTCATAACCAGTGATCTTGTGAAGTTTTTCAAAGGCTCATCCATTTCCATACTTCACATTCGAAGAAGTCTTGCATATTTTCAAATGAAGATCCATCCAGTTATCAAGACAAGACTTCAACCAATTGGAGAAACATCAGATTACCTTTCCAACATCTCAACTTAGGAAGAAGTTGATAGAGGTGGAGTAAACTCGAGGAGTTGAAAAACCTGTCAAGTGGCTGTTCGGCTTAGTGATCAAGGAAGCCAGCTTGAAGTAGTTTGTACTAGGAGTGATAGTGCAAACCCTTTCACGAGTTGTGAAAGAAGAGTGAAGTAGGCCCCGTTAACAGCCGAACCACTATAAAAACCTCTCTTTCCATATCTCTTTACATTATGTCATATCGACCAAATGCTAGATCTTTACAATGAAAGTGTGCGAAGAGTATCTAAGACGAAACGTTATTTCCGCTATGCATAACTTCGAAAGGAGGTGCTTTGAAAAATTGATTAGAGTATATTCACCCCCCCCCCCTCTAGACCCTCTTTCGACCCTACCAGGACCAACAAGTGGTATCAGAGTGGTTACCTTGTACGGTAAACGTTTTGCTTTACTGCCTGGTAGATCCCTTTTGCAAAATCTATATAGATCAAACTGCTTTTTCGTCTTTGCACGTATTTTGTTAAAAGAAAAATGGAAAGAGCCATGCTAAACGTTCAAGGCCTCTTGCCTTTAATCTCTCAAAATTTGATGATTGGAAAGTCAGGATGCAGGCTCATCTCTCGGCTATTCATGAAAATGTGGGACGTGATAAAAGAAGGCCCTATCGTCATCATGATGGCAAATATACAAGCGGCTGCTCAAGGAGCAGATCCAGAAGTCTTGGTTCCTAAACCAAAGTCTCAACTTACCTCAGAAGAGAAGAAAAGAGCAAATCTTGATAACGTTGCACAAGACATTCTCTATAAGTCTCTAGATGACTCGTTGTTTCAGAGAGTACGGAAATGCACTACAGCAAAGCAAATCTGGGATACTCTCATGAGTCTAGGTGAAGGAGACGAACAAGAAAAAGATAACAAGTTCACCGTCGCCATGAAGAAGCTAAGTTTGAAGACTTCAAAAATGATGCCAAACGAAGCCATCACCGACATGGAGCTCAGGTTCATGAAGCTTATGGGTGATCTTTCTGATCTCGGAAAGGAGCTGATTGAAAAAGAGAAGACCCTAAAGATACTCCGAGGGCTTCCAAAATCATGGGAGATGAAAGTAACAGCCATGAGAGATCACAGAGACATGAAGACAACCAGCACGAGCAAAATCTTTAGTGATCTCAAGGCCTATGAGTTTGAGCATGAGCCCAAGGAAATTGAGGAATCTGAAATAAGGAATATCGCTTTGGTTGCTAGTCAACAAACGTCAACATCAAACAGGTCAAATTCTAACCCTAGTGAATTTTTATCTGATGAACAATATGCTTTGTTTGTATGAAAGATGAAAAGGTTCACGAGGAAGAACAACTTCCAAGATCATATAAGATCATCAAACCGAAGGCAATACGAAAGATCTCCTCAATCATCAAAGCAAGAGACGGTGGATGCACAAGTGCTATGCTATAATTGTCGAAAACCAGGACATTTCAAGGCAAATTGTCCTCATCCCATAGTCCGCAAATATCAGGACCATGATACAAGCACAAGCTCACCAAAAGAAGCTATTGAATCTAGTAAGAGAAGTGGAAAACAAGAGTTAACAAACTCTCAACACGAGAGAAGAAGAAATGCAATGGTGGTAAATGAACCAGCTGGAGAAGAACTACCCGAAACAAGCACTTCAAGCTCAAGTTCAGAGAGCGAAAGTTCGGGGGATGAGAAAGGTCTTCTATGTCTATTCAGTAAGGAAGAAGAAGCAGACGATTTGTGCTTAATGGCGAATGATGATGAGGTAAACTCTCAAACCTCCTCATCTACTCAAATAGAGATTAGTTCTGAAAATGAAAGAAATCCAAATGAAACTATCTTTGAGATGATGATGGATTTCAAGGTAATTAAAAACACATACTCCAAATTAAAAGAAGAGAACTCTCGACTATTGACCAGCGACGATGAGCTAAGGCGAGTTAAAATTGACAACATTAAGCTAGCCATCGCAAAAGATCAGCTCGAGAAGCAAGTTCTTCTTTTCAAGGAGCAGTGTACAGAAAGAGAGTTGCGCGAGCAACATCTATGTGAGGTTCTTGATTCGTTTAACAAATCATCCAATCTAATGGATCAACTAGTAAATGGATTGAAACCGCCAGGGGAAAGAACCGGAATTGGTTATGACCTCAGCTCCCCTTCACATATCTTGTTGAACAAATCCACAGACATTTACTCACATGAAAGTTTTAAGTCTGCATTTGTTCAAGGCCCTACCCAAATGTATGAGCCAATGATAAAGATTAAAAATCGTGATCAACCACAATCAACAAGCCAATCGAAAGGAAATGTTGTACAACGGATTGTGGAACCTCGGAATGGAAATTACTTGAAAGGTAATCCTAGGCATAATACTAATGTTAAAAGGAATGGACCGAAAGGAAATAGACCCAGTCTATACTATCAAAAAGGTCAGCCTACAAGAAAGGATCCACGAACGTAAATCAGAGGCAAAATCGTTCTAAGTATCCACGAAAGGATCCTTTACGAGGAAATCCGAACGATGAACGAAACAGACATGCCAAGAGGTCACATAGAAGACCAATGACGGGCAACGGATGGAGTGGACCATCTTAAGAGGATTGACTTGTTTATCCCGAACCTTTATCAAAAGCAGAATTTGAAAACGTTCATAGGCATAAACAAACCAATTATTCAAAGCAGTATCGCAATCCACCTGGTGATTATTTTCAAAGTCGATACAAAGCCAAAAGTTTCACCTAAATTTATTATGCTTATCAAGTTTTTAATGGGTACAAAGGACCAAGGATGAGTTATGCTAACTCTAGGTTCATGTGGACCCCAAAATTGACTACTAACCCTCAAGGACCCGAAACCGAAGGGGTACCTTGTAACAACCCGTGTTACGGCCCTTAATCCCAAATTAATTATTTAATTAATTCCATTAATAATAATTAAAAAGGATTTAATTTGATTAGAAATCCCTTTAATTAATTAACGTGGTCCACCACGGATCATGGACCCTTGCCTAAACTAGAGTCATAAGCCTATTAGGAATAAAGAAAGTATACCTTTACTATTCAGATTATGGTTAGGATTCTCTTTAATTAATTAATATGGTCCACCATGGTCCATGGGCCCTTATCCCTAAAGCCAACCCCTTAGTCCTATAAGGAATAGAATTAGTAAACCCATGCCACTTAGACCATAATTAGGACTCTTAATTATATAAATAGGGACATAGAAGGCACCTAGAACACACACCACAAATAATCCCTCACCACACAAGAAAGTTCCAAGAACTCCCGTAGTAGAAATCAAGAAAGGAGAAATCTTAAAGAAAGACCCTTCATAGCCAAGGAAATTAATTAAGGCTAAGAGGTAACCCATGTCTCAACAAAACCTATTTTCTTCGCTATAATCTCTTTCCTTGGCCTCCCTCTATATTGTTGTGTCTTAATGATTTCTTCTATGATAATTATGTTATGTTCTTGATGATTGATAAGATGATTTATATGCTTTCTTGGGAATCTTGATGACCTTGATGTTAAAAAGAAGTTCTTGATTATGATATGATGATTCTTGACGAATCTTGATATTTTCTTGATGTTAAGAATAAAATATGTTCTTGATGATTTGGGTAGGATTAGAGCCCTAGGTTGGATTGGGAATTTGTATTGAGGATGTTCTTGATTTATATTTGGGTGGGAATTCGCATGTTCGGGTGTTGTTTATATTTAGAAGTCATAATAGGATAAGTCCTACATGAGTATTGCTTTTGATTCGTTAATTGCTTATGTGATGTCGTTATTTGCATTTAAAAGTGTCTAAGCATGGTTTCGGGTTCCACAAAGGATCCTGGGACGAATTTGTGATGAATGAGTCAGTGGAGGGTAGGTGGGGGTGGGGGAACCCACCACCTACCCGCTGCCCAAAGAGGCGCTGCCAGGCAGCGGGCAGCCACCGGGCAGCCGGCTACCCGCTGCCCGAAACATCGCCCACCGGCGGGCAGCCGGCGGGTGACCCCCACCCACTGGCTACCCGCTGGTCCTCACCCCACCCCGGGTCCCCGGCTTCCCCGTTTGATGTTCCCCGTTCCCCATGGTGTCCCAATGGACCCTGTTTGTCGTGCCTGAGTCTAGTCTGGAATTTCGGGTACCATTCGTAGGTTAAACGAGTCTTAGGAATTGCATGCTAGTTGAATTGTTAACCCGTGGACCTAGGTGGAAGTTATATGAGCCCTTAGGAACTATTCTTAGAATGTGAATTATCACATGTAAGCTTAATTATATGTTCCCCCTTCCCTATGTGAACAATGTGTCATTATGTGCTATTGTGTGTTATGTGATGCATGACCCCAACTTGGTTAAGACCAATTGGGCTATACAGGCAATTGAATGGGCTGAGAACCATCCCAACTGTTAACTAGGTCGGTTAAGATCGGTTATGGATATTGATATGATATAGGACTGAGGTCCACTATACGGGCAGTTGAATGGGTTGAGAACCATCCCAACTGTTAACCAGGCTGGTAGAGACCGGTCAGGTATATAAAGATTATGTATAGGACTGAAGGTCTACATGGGCCTCGGTGATATGACCCACCGACCGGGATGCGCCAGGCGGTATGGGGCCAACAAGCCGAGGAAGGTTGTAGTCCACCGACTTGAGTAATCAGGCGGTGTGTAGGGCTACGACTGGCTGCGATCCACCGAGTGGTGAGACATCGGTATGCAGGACCGTAGTCTCCGAGGATCTTTGCCCACCGACTGAGTTTAGCTCAGCGGTGTGTCGGGCTTGATCCACTACGGCTCGCCGATTGTGCGCACCAACAGTGTGTAGGATCGTAAGTCCCCCCTTGTAAAGGGGATCACGGTCCACCGACTGGGCGCGTCAGTGGTGTGTCGGATCGTGGTCCGACGTTGAGTTCGTCAGCGGTTCTCCAAGGGTTGGTTGTGATCAACTCCCCTCGTACTGCGGTACTGAGGTAGGGTGCTGCGGGGCCGTGTTAATGCTATAGGCATTAACCCTCATGTTCGGGGCATGCGATTGGTCCCGTGGCGCCATCGATGATTATGTGATATGAATGATGATTGGATGACGATGTGGATTGGAATTGAGAAGTGGCTTGTGACCGTAAATGCATATTCCTTATGATGTTGTTATTATTGTCTGATATGGTTATCCCTATCTGTCGAGTTTATTCCGGTTTTGAAACTAGAGTTTCCTAGGATATCTCTTCCTGCTTCAAAATGGTTTTTCCTATATCTATATCTATACATATACCTATATTGTATTTTAACGCGTTGGAGTGAGTTACCAGCATCTCTCGCTGAACAGATATATTTGGCTTTCAGGCACAGAGGAGTAGGTACTGGAGCGCGCTAGAGACTTGGAGCGTAGAGTAGATAGTTTCCCTTTCGGCCTGCGTGCCATGCTTATGTATATACATTATTGAGGATATTAGTTAGTTAGCCTGTGCACCTGAGTTCTCTAACTCAGGTGTGGCATAGCACCCCGTACTCCTTCATATTATGTTTTGGGATTTAATGAGAATCTACCTTTATTATATAAGTCTTAAAAATTGAAAAATTTCGGGGTGTTACAGTTTGTATCAGAGCCTAAGTTTGACCCTAGGATATGACTCTTAAGACCAGACTTTATGACATTAGGCTTGAACTCTAGGTGTTTAGGCACATAGGATTCAGGAATCTTAGGACGCGCGGTGAGATTGTGAACCTACCTATCATCATATAACCTCCACTCACTTTACCCCACATTAATTTAAAGAATTTCCCCCTTCGCTTATCACATCAAGGTAAGGGTACAACACACTAACTCTTCATTCCACATACTGGCCCTAGAAATTTGAGATGTCATTGCATGCTTTTACTTGCTTTGTTGCTTATCACTCTTTGATTATCATACTTGTTTATTTGCTTAAACATATGTTCCTAATTAACTTTAGACCGTGTTACGAACTGCATATTATTACTTAACTATTTTATCAAACATGCATTATTTGGATATCTGTTACTTGATAAAGTATTTTGGAACTTGTAATTAGTAATTTTATTCAGCTTATAAGGGCTCACTTGTCCTTATCATAATTAACCAATATAGTTAACTCACTAAATAGCCCGATAAGTACTTACATGAGTTGCATGAAGGGAAACTTTGGAGAACATAGCTTTAATTGAGAAGGGGAAGAATGGGGTGTGAGATCCTTATGATAATTAGTTGAAGTCTCCCATATTCCTTATTAATAACGTGATCCCTTGAGTTTTTCCATGTATTCAAACCCCTTTCGTTGTTCACATAAGTATGAAATTCCTTCAACTTAAAATTGTGCATTCTCGAGGCTTTTCCCGAAGTGATTCCTCCTTCACAGTCACGTTCCAGTGGGGCCTTGGCAGGAGGTCGACCACCCACCACGTGCCCACTGCCACATTCCAGTGGGGACTTGACAGGCGGTCGACCGCCCACCTCGCGCCCACTGGTCCGGTATGTTTTCTTGACTTCTCATTTTTATTGATCCATTGTGCCTGTGTGTGCCTCCCTTGATACTTCCTATGTATTTAAACATATAAATAACAATCTAATGCTTGAACATGAAAATCAAATTATCTTCCTAATTGATTTGTTTATATGTTACATAGAAATTATAGGGACTAATCCTATTTCTAGAAATCTAAACCCTCGGATACATTGCGTATTAAGTTTCGACCCGAAATTCAATCTAAGTGAAACCGGTAGAAACCTAAAACAAGTGGTCATCTAGAAATTATCCGTGGGAAAATATATTGCGCCTCCAAACTATCTTAAAACTATCCCTCTAGACCTTGGTCCATGTTGCATAATAGACCACAAGCTTCTCATACCTTGTTTAGGACCCTTACCACTAAGATAAGGACCCCCCTAAAACAAACATTTATACATAAATAGGTACATTACTACTATCCTAGATATATTCCCCTAAAACTCCTATCATATATATATATATATATATATATATATATATATATATATATATATATATATATATATATATAAGATATGTAGTAAACCCCAATTACGTTCATATGCTACACTTACACCGAATTATTATTATTATTATTATTATTATTATTATTATTATTATTATTATTATTATTATTATTATTATTATTATTATTATTTTCATGTTTATTACACCCTAATCCTAAATCACTTGCCTAATCTTAAAAATGGTTGCGCCACGTACGGTACGTCCCTATACGCTTAAATCTCTATATATGTGTATAAACTTGTAAACCTATAGAACATCCTCCCCTATTCATACGTATCCATATAAATTGTTACATTATATACAATAAATCCCTAGCCCCCAAACCATACACATGCACCCTAGCTACAATAATCTTACGCACACCTATAAGCTTGACCTTAGCATATCCTAACCCTGAAATATCATTTCGTACAAACTACATCACTAAAAAAATA